AACTCGACTTTCCAGCCCAAGAAATCAAACCAATTTGTAGACCGAAACCAACGCTCACAGAATCGAATGTCTATGCAATAGGCGACAAATACCCCACAAACGTCGCGCACTAGACGAATATTTCTCCCCGCATGTTGGCGAATGTGTACGCTGGTGTAGCGCCACTGACAAAGGCACCGCCACCGGGTGAACAACTTCGCGGTTTGTTTGTTTTGTTTTGACACGCATTCTGTCAGCCGCCTGAGGCCTTCAGCTCTTGCTCTTGACGCCCATCATCTCCCGCCTTTGGTGAGTTTCTGCCAATCGGTGGCCGTTCATTGACATGCAACCATCCACAGATTGCCAGCGCGTTGGCTCAAGCGCCTTACTGTCGACTCGACTCGATCACCATCCCGGGGTTGTAGCGGCGCGGCTATCGAACTAGGAGAGCGCGTCGGCGGATGGAGGCGAACCCCTCCCCGTGCCACGCGTCATCAAGCACCTCCTGTTCGGAACGACGTCTGCTCGCCCTCACGGGTGTGTGCTATCGCTGTGTTATTGTTGTTGTTGTTCCCTGGTTCTCGCCGCATGTTCCTCGCTTCTCCTGCATTGGACGGTCGCGTATCGCTCGGCGTTGGATGATAGCGTATCGTTCGGCGTTGGATGGCATGGAAGAGGATGGCGCGTGCATGATGTTGAGGGTCATGTCGGCTCGAGCATTGTAGTAGTGTACTTCCCGGGGACGGAGTCATCTCCTCGTGCTCCCTTGCCGCGGGCCCCGGGCATACGGCGACCGCGTCTGCGCGAGCCAACCAAAAGCACGTTAAATGATTGTCTTCTGTATTAGCATCAACTCCCTTAGCTTAGTCTCGCCCGGACCGGCTTCGAGCATCTCTGGGGTTGCGACTGAGTCATTCATTGTTTCCTTCCTCATGATCAACGACGCATGTTTACCATTTCCTCGACATGGAACCTCGCTTAGCCTCAATTGTCTTATTGTTCCTCTCGCAGGTCGACTGGCTTCGAAATCTCGAACCTGGCGTCGCGCTTGCGGTCCCACGCGTGCGCGCAAAAAAACGACTCGCTTAGCTTCTTCTCGCCCGGACCGGCCTCTGGGGTTCCGACTGAGCCATTCTTCCTTAGACTTAGTAACGGGGCTTGCGATTCGTACTCCGTTGCATTGTATATTCTTATTACAGGTTGACTTGAGGCAAATTTCTCGGTTTACAGTGTCCCCAATGCGACCGCTCATTCAAGTCTTCGACGGTACGGAGCAACTGGGTTCAAAAACCTACCGCATCAATGTATCAACGCCCGTAAAAGGTTCACGCGTTCACGGACAAGCATCTGCATTAATGGCGTGGACTATAACTAACGACGTCTCGGCGAGCTCGAGCCACTTGCGCTGGCAGCGACGATCCTTCAAACCTCTCCTACGTGCGAAGCGCGCTGTGGCGATGCGCGCATTGGTGAGAATTTGTATAACAGTCTACACTAACGCAGTACGGCCCCCCGCGTCCCCTTCAATTCTCATGAAGCGGGAAGACATCATTCGGGCGTTCGGAATGTTTGACCTGAACTTGAAGGAATATTTTCTGCCACAGGCTGCAGGGAAAGACTTGACAGTGGTTTATTCTAATCCTTATCGACATGTTGCCTCGGCGGCCGCCTAGTTTAGATCCCGACGGTGTTCAGTGCGCAGGGAACGACAACTTTGGTACATAAGACCGTGACGCAGGGCCCCTTACTGATGCCATCTGCACCTCCCATTCGGTTTGAAGTTTTCCGGGCGGCCATTGGGAATGGAATGGGAAAGATGACGGCTGCAGAGTCAACGGGGTTCAAGACTGAGATGCGTCCGGTATCTTTCCGTATCAATTTTTTTTCCCAGCTTCTGTTGTTTCTTGTGCGTCGTTTTATGGTTTACCATGAGTGATGTTCTTCAACTGGTGCATTAAGCAAGTCATCGAGGAGGAGGATGAGTTCAACCCGGTCGCCCCGGCCCGGCACGCCAATGGAACAACAGAATGACAGGGACAAACACTCCTCCTTTAACCCGTCACTTCGGACATTTTTTTTCGCATGCACTGGGCAGAAAATGCTCATTTCCAAACTCTCCTTCGCGCGCATGAAAACTCATCTCGAAGTCGCGCATCGTATAGCCAGGGAACGCTCCCGAAATCATGTCCCCGAAATCCCCTCATGTGGCTGACAGTCGCAAATGCCGCTTGAAACCATGACCATCAGCCGTCTAACCTGGGCTGTCAGCCACATCGAGTATAAAAGGCCCGCAGAAGGCGCTTCAGGCTCTCTCAGTGACCCCCACTACCCCCGCAGAAACATGCAGTCTTCCGTTCTCCTCGTCCTCTGCTTTCTTTCCTTCATTCTTGGGCAGCTGTTCAGCGCCTACTGTACTAGCCTGGCCAATGTCAAGATTCCCGTCGTCACCCCTCAGGTCGTCGTGTCTGAGTATTCTCTGCAGGCGTTGCTCGCCATTGTCTTGTCAGTGCTTGTAGTGCATGACCTCGTTCTCGTCCTCCTCCTTCGCCACCTTCTCAGTTCACCGACGCCCACACCCAAGGGTATCCTCAAGCTCCTAAACACGGTGGCTCACGGCGTCGACGTTCATACCGACAACCTCGCGGTGGTGCTTTTCTCCCGTCTCAATATCGGCAATTCAAGGGCAGGTTATCGCAAGGTTTCAACACTACTTCCTTCAAGACCCGCAATTGTGTTTCCGTTCTTCCTTGGGGCCACCCTTTCCGTTACGGAGTGCTGCACGGCGCTGTTCCTGTTCGTCAAGCGGGACGCGCGTCCACTGTTTCTATTCTCGATCCTGGCCCGCGCGCGCGTAGCAATTCCCCCATGGGTCCATTCATTCCCTGCACACCTCCGCCATCTGGCTCCTGCCATTTCAAGCAACCACCAAGGGGCTCACCTCAAGAAGATCGCCGCCAAGGAGTATGAAGAGCCCGTTCCCGTCTTGGTTCCTCCGGCCCAGGTTCCTGTTCACTCCCAAGACGGTATACCTGCGCGACCCTCCCATGCACCCCTCCTCCGTCACCTCGTCGCCGCCGCGATCCTGAGGAAGTGCCGGGTCCGCATCGTGATTGAGGAGGACTGCCACGCAGGCATTGAGGAGGTAGAAGAAGTTGACGATCTGTCGGATACGCTCGTCGTCGAAGAGGAGAAAGACGAAGACGGCGAGAAGCTCGATGAGCAGGTTGAAGTCACCGTGAACCAGGACACACTCGTCTTGGAGGAGGAGGAGGAGAAGGTCGAGGAGGAACAGGAGGAACAGTTCGAGGAGGACAGCATCGAGGAGCAGATCGGGGAGCTCACCATCGACCTGGAGTCCGTTGCTCCTAGCTACCAGGAATTCGATCTGGATGCCGCGCCCTCATACGAGGAATTCGCAAATGACGCACCTCCAGAGCCGTTGTTCCAGAAGCGGACTGTCGCGCCTCTGGACCACGGTTCGTTTCCCTTTATTTCCCCAATAAGCCCTTTCTCATCATTTTTACAGTCATCCACCGGCCGCCGTCGCTTGCTGCCATCGCGGCTCGTATGAGTGCCAGCCTTCCCAGCACCCATGCCCGCGTATCCCGGCTCCATCTCCTTGCCCGCCTCTCCTCTCGTGTCTCCGCCACGTCTGCGGAGCCCATTTCCGCATAAACGCAGTCCCCCCCGCCACTTCTTCCGCCCGCCCCTACCGTCGCTTCCCCGCCTGTATCCCCGTCGCCCACGAACCAAATACCAGAGCCGCACGGCAAGGATGACGCGACATGCCGCCGGATCGGGGACGCCTGGACCGACGACACGCCTCGCCATCGCAGCCGCAAACGGCATCCGCAAGACCGACGTGGACGCGCGCCCTCTTGCTGATGCCGTCTGTGGCTACCTTCCCGTTCGGTTTTGGTTTTTTTCGTTGAGCGACAGGGTACGCGTAGGGAAGTTGGGAATGGGATAGGTACGATGAAGCTGGTTGCACGGCCGGGATCTAAATGTCTGTACTACTATTTCGCTTGCTTGATTTTCCCTGTTTGTGTCGTCTATTTCCCTGCTAGATGAAACACATCACTTTCACATCACCCTTCGTAGCGTCTGCTACTGAATGTGTAATTCAACTTCTGGACATTCAGTACACCACCCAACACCACCCACGGAACTGAATTTCTGTCAAGATTTAGACTGAACAACTCATGTTGTGGTTTCAAAAATCTCCAATGCGTGTGCGCTGGCTCTTCGTGATCTCACCTGCCGGTGCGATTGCCACCTTCCGTACGCGGCACCATGCACCCGCATAGTATGCCCGCCACATACAGACGCGCCCCGGCCCTCCGATCGCAAAGTCACATTCAAATCCATTTTCGCTGCTGAACCTGACTCCACGTTGGTTCATGCCGCTCACCATCTGCAAAGCATACGACGACACTTATCAGAGGTCGGAGGGGCTGGCCGGTATAGTAGCCCTCGTGTCTCCTCGTGTAACAATTTGTGTGATGTTTGAGCATGGCGCAGATGGTAGCGCGCGAAAATAGCGGTGGCGGTGCTGTGGCGGTGTATACACATAAACGGTAAATTTGATGCGCCTTCCCTTGCCGCCCCGCACGCAAAACTGCCCCGCCCCTCCCAGCGCAAAGTGTTAAATGTGGGCCGGGCTGCTGTTGCATAAGCGGAGAGAACTTAACGGGTTTGTGATACATAACGATTGCTTCCAAAATCCGCGTCTTGGTCACCAAGTAAGAATTCGTCTGCAACATGGCGAAAGGCCTCGACGTCGAAGTGCTCTCGCATGGGGAGACTGAACTCCGATCTCAACTATTTGCTGTTTCGCACTCCAATTTTATGTGCTCAAACCACGTATATCATGCAATGCAACTTATTCGACTCATGTTTGAGGTGCGGTACTACGACGATCAAGCGCTATAATCAAGCCATAAGAAAAATCAGGGGGGGTAAGGACTTGCATTCGATAGGTAGGTAAAATAATATGAAGGAAAACCATGAAAAAAGAGAGCTAGCAGCAACTCGTTTCGATCGAGTGACCTCGGGGTTTCTGATTATATAATCATATGGGCCCCGCGCGCTTCCATCTGCGCCATGCTGCTGATGTATGGAGTGGAAGAAAGAGCGTAAGTATACCGAGATTTAGAAGAAAAGTGGTCTGGAGAGCCTAAGAACCGCAGCGGAGGGAGCCAATTCACTCAACGTGTACCGGAGTTGCAACCAACGAGTTTGATGTTACGGTTGATCCTAAGAAAAAGCCGGGTGATTTTCCAAGCGCAAAGGCCGCGCGCTTCCATCTGCGCCATGCTGCAGTAGTATACATGTATGCAAACAAGGACTAGTACTACCACATCAGGAAAAAGTGTTTTCCTATGTAGCTGTGTACCAATATTTGGAGGCCCGGTAGCGTTGATAGCTTCACACCAATGCTCAGTAGCCGTCGGTAGTCCTGGTAGCTACGCACCAAGGATCAGTAGCATTTGATAGCCGGCCTGCCACGGATCAGTAGCACTCGGTAGTCGGTTCCGAAAATAAATGGTGGTTTGGCCTCCACAGAGGTACAGTACCACACCATCCTAGGAGAGAGATGACCTGAAAAGAATTCAAACTAGATCAGTTGAATAAGGAGCAGGTATTGCAGGGGAGTCTGCGTCTGCAAAAAATTGCTCAGTCCATTTCAAAGTCCGATACACGTGCACGATTGCGTGATTGCAGGTGATTGCTTGGCGCTTTTGGTTGATGGTCTTTCTTCCTTTCCCCCCATCTCCCTCCCCTCCGCAAGCCAGTATGGTCTCGCTGGCACACCAAGACACTCCCTGGTCCCCGGCAAACTCTACAAACATGTACTTCGTTGTTAACGCTCCCTCAAAGTCCCCGCCATCAATCTGTGCATGCTAGATTCCCATTCCCTGCCAATGCGAAGCCCTGCAAGTCATCTGCAAGATATTTCAAGCATATTCAAGTCTATGTGCATCAATCCTTGTCTCGTTTCATTTTCGCAAGCCCTTCCTGTTCATCGCAAGCCAAAGACGTCCACATCAATATCTACTCTCGCTTACATCAGACTCATACATCCCAGGCCCATCAATTATGGCATGCTCGGGTCTCGACCTGTCGTTCTACGCATCTTGTTCTTGAAAATCAGCTGGTGAGTTTGCCATAGTTCTTCGTCCCGCCATCCGCTGATTCATTGTAGACTACAGCAACGACAGAAGTCGAGACATCAGTCTGCCGACTGGCGAGCTTTTTTGTTCCAATTTCTGAATCTCATTGCTCTTCAGTGTTGTCGATGAGCCATCGAACATCCGCGATCCTTTCTGTCTAGTCACCTTAATGTATTCTGCACCGAATATGATTTTATTTATTTATTTTGCATTCATTTTGTGTGATATGTGTAACGGGTACCCTGGCTACCCTCGATTACTGGTCGATACTAAGTGCTACTCACTGCTACTGACTTACCCAGTCAGAGCTACCAGGAGCTACCGAGAGCTACCATAGTCACATGCCAGAGCTACCAGGCGCTACCAGACTCTCGCAGGTGACTACCAACGGCTATCAAAAGGGGGACTTGCCTACCATGATACCCCGGCTACTGGCGCTACCGAGCACTATGGAACCAAGTCTTTTTTTGCTGATGCAGGAGGGTACGAACGAAATCAACGAGCGGATTCAATCCCCGATGCTCCTTAGTCAGTAAAAACTAAATATGGCTCAACAAAATGCATATGAGCAGCGGATAGCTATAGATGCAAGCGGGGAGGTATCCAAAAGGTGGTGTTACAGCGTTATGCCTGGACACTTTAGTGATCCAGGTTCTTATGCACATTGAAATCGACGTAGATTTCCTTCCGGGGATAACATTTTTAAGCCAATAGGATGCTCAGAATGCATGTGACATAACTTTTTAAGCCAATAGGATGCTCAGGATGCATGTGACACGGACCGACCATTTCAGCCAATAGGATGCGCTGATACACGTGACACATTCGGTAAATAATTCCACTCATGAGGATTTCCGTGGCTTATAATTTGCGACCTTTATGGGTCCTTCGAGTACATGGGAAAAAATCTCTCTTCTTGAAACAGAAAGGCCAGAGCTGAGTCAGAATGGGGCGAAGGCTCCGCTTGAAAATGACGTAAGTTTCGATAATACGGCCCACCATATCCCACGTCTCCTTTCTCTCCCTGTCGCTTCCCTAACCCGAGAATGTGTTCCTAGCGATTACCGGCGGTGTTCCTTTTTCATGCTTAAGTTCCGCTTCCTATTTTACATTACCCTGCACTCACGGTTGCGTGAAGATCTTTTGCGTTTATGTTTTGTTATTTTAGTCACAGGCTCTTCGGAGCCTCAGACTCCAGAGAATCGATTTTCATCCAATGGTCCGAGTTGTCCGATCACCCAGGTTTAGTCAGCTTCGAGCAATGGTGTCAGTCCCAGATTCGGACAGAAGACAATATTCATATCTCTTTCTGGATTTGGCGAAGATATAACCTACAGGTCATGTAATCCTGGAGGACTCCGAGCGGGATGTAAACTAGGGTCTGCATGCACATCGTTGGATTTAAACATATTTAACAGTTTAGGGGCTATTTGTCTATATCCAATTTTCATTTTTTAATTAGATCACTGCAGCACGGGCTGCCATCGGGTGCACCCATAAATCTCAACTCAAATATTCGGGCTATATCAAGTGTAATATCATGTCTGCACATGAGAAGGGGGTCCAGGCTTCGCCCGTAGGGCCATTACACTTGGAATTTCCGCATTGGGACGATATCGGTTGTTTGCCAGTGTTGATGCCCAGCCACATTGATCGCCTGATGGGACAGGCACCCAACAGTATTGCCAACGTATGGCGTTACTCTGCTCAATTCGCCTATTCCTCTGCATCCACTGCAGCCCCTTGTAGGCAGGCGGACGGGGCTCGACTGCAAGATCTGGAGCCGAATTTGCGAATCCACATTTAATACAATTCCCGTCTCTCCAGCCGGCAAAACCTTCAATCAACCTGGCAGCGTCACCGCATCCCCGATCATCGCCAGATTCAAGGCATCTTAAGTCAAGCCTCGTCAAATTCGGGTTCACCGTCCAACGGAATGATCAAATTGACGCGTCCCTGCCATTCATCTCGCCGCATCACACTGAGTAAATTCAATACCAAGTGTTTCTGAGCGCAGCGATTGTAACGGCGAAAAAAAATCAATAAATCGTACCAAGTTGAAAGGGACCAATTTCGCCAAAAATGCACTAAGTCGAAAGGGGCTAAATCTCACAAAAATTTCAACAAGTGCCGCCGTAACTTCATCTCAGCGACAAAATTCCACCAAGTTTGAAGTCGTTGCGGGGATGATTTTTTATTTTGGCATCAAGTCGAAAACTGCGGGCGTTCGCAGAATCTCTTTGACATATATATATTGTTTGTCTTCAGCCGCTGCCTTTCAAAGCTATGCGCGCAAGCAGGCGCAATCCAACAATATTATTGGCAACACGTACATGCTCGACTTTTCTCTTTTACAGATTCCGCTTCCGAAACACAAACCAGCCTCTCATAGATCGCCTATTCCTCTGCATCCACTGCGGCCCCCTTGTAGGCAGGCTTCGGTTTCGGTCTTGGACGGAGCTCGACTGCAAGATCTGGAGCCGAATTTGCGTCTCCGTCTGCACCGCGAAAATCTGCTTCGTCGTCAGAGACCACCTTGGCTCGAGACGAGCCCTTTTTGGCACCACGCCCGCGCCCACGTCCACGCGCAGTGCCGCGTTTTGCGGCCGGGCCCGTTTTAGTTTTGCCGGCCCTTGTCTTCTTCTTAGCAGGGACATCCTCGTCTTCCGACTGAGAACTTGCCCCGTCTGATGCAGGCGATTTGGACCCATGCCTCCGTTTCTTCCGAAAGTCGGTTACCACCTGCTGCAGACGTTTGCTGGAATACGCCTGCCGTTGCCGAGGCGCAACAGTCCCGCTTCCAGTGACATCAAAATATCCATTGAGGTCCCCTTGTTTGTTCAAGGCGCCGCTCTGGAGGGGCATGAGCGACGAAAGGACCGATTGTATTGACGTACCTGTCCCCGCTTGCGGATTTTCTGGATAACAGGTAACAATAGCTCGTCCACTTTTGCAGGCGGCCAACCCAACTCGGTATATAGAAATCTACAATCGAATGAGACTTCAATGACGATACACGGCAGTCATCACATACTCTCGAAGAGCGTCTAGATCAGGTAAACCCCATTTGAAAGGCTCGTCCGACTCGTCGACGGTGGGATGGTAATATGCATCCCTCTGGAAAAAGTTAGACGAGTGGGACATGCAGTACAGCAGCGTACCACAGTAGAATTGGGCCATTCCGGATGCAGGTATAACTCTTTGAAATTCTTCTTCTACGTTGCAAGAATGAATCTGGATGCATTGAAAAAAATCCCGCAATACTCACAAATTGCTTCCGGAATTTAGATTTATTGTCCTCGGGCCTGTCCTTGCCAGATTGCACCTTGATCCACCACTCTTTGAATTTATGTAGCCCGTCCTGGCCAGGAAACTCGCCAAGAAGTTCCATCGCGACAACCGGCCCAACGCCCGGAAGCCCGTCGACATAATCGCTGCCAAGCAAGTACGCAAGTCTAATCAGCGTGTCCCGATCCAAACCCAGTTCACGACTCAGATCGGTGAGCAGAAAACACTCGACCGTTTTCGACTGGTTGAACATGTTTTTGAAAACACGCTGGCTGCCGAATAAAAACACATCCGAATCATCTGTAATCACGCCGTTCACGAGACCCAGATGGACAAGCTCGGCACATTGAGCTTCAGCTTCCATCGGTGCCGTGATGTACGGAATGCCGAACAAGCTCAGCATCGTCTGCTCGCAGTTTAGCAAAATATTCAAGTCCAATGCAATGTACACACCATGATTTGGGATATCATGTGCTGGTTGATGTCTTCCGAATCGCGCATGGCTGCCTTCTTCTGCGTGTTCAAGACCTTGATTTCATCGTCGATTTCTCGCCGCACTTCGTCCAGATCCTTGCCTTTGACCTGCGACATGAATCGCGCAAATTCACCCTCTTCCGCATCGGCATCCATTTCTTGGGCGGCGTCCCAGT